AGTTCCAGCACTTAACTGTCGGTTTCTTATCACCAATATTCCGTCTCAAGGCGTTCAGTTGTCTAGTTAAATCGTCTAGACGAGCGGTGACTTGATCCCCTGGCTCCTGGACTTGAGAGCAGCTCTGACTGGGTGGCGGTCTCGACGAGTGGCTTGCTGGGCAGCCTCGAATTTCATGGCGTACACTAAAGCGCTTTTCAAATCTTTAACATCCGCCATTCGTAGAGCCTTCTGTGTTTCGGGATCCCGGATGACATCGATAAAGTACTGCAGGAACAGGATTTCCCTAGTTTCTCTCGGGCACTCCGTAAAGGCGAGGTGGGACAGCCTTTCAACATCTGTGGCGAGTTCCTGGAGTGATTCGGTGGGCTTCTGTTGACGGGATTTTAATTGAAGCCTGCTGTAAAGTCTTTTAAACACTTTCTCGCCAAAGCGCAGCTCCAATGCGCCGGATAAAGCTTCGAAAATCAAGTCCTTTGGTTTTCTGGGAAGAGTCTACAGGATATCCGCTGCGTCTGCTCTCAGAGAAGCGGCGAGATGACAGGCCTTAGTTTGGGAATCCCATCCATTTTCGCATCCGAAAAGTTATAGAAAATTGTGTCCTTATACACTTGCCAGGAGGTCTTCCCATCGTATGTAGATAGTTTCAGAGAGGGACGAGCAGGCATTGGTAAAAATTTAAAACCATCCGAATTGCTCCCTGCCGTCGCTTTACGAATTTTCTTTAAAGTATCAACAGTTCTTTCGCAACGTCTGAAACCCTATCATCAATTTGTTGTTCGACGGCAGAAACTTCTTTTCTTCCTCTATATGTTCTTTTACAGAAGAAACTTTCTTCTATTTCTTCTTTCACTGAAAAAACCCTTTCTTCAATTTGATCTTTTACCGAAGAAACTTTCTTCAATTTGTCCAACTTTATTTTCAACTGCGTCACTTCTGCCTTCCATAACCTCGAATTTGTTTTTCTATCACGCTAGTAATTTCTCTTTATTTTGTCATGACCTGCTTCAATCTTCTCTTGAACAGTCTTCATTTCTACTTTAACGGATTCCTGGCCCAATTTCATCTATTCCTGTGCCGCCTTCATTTCTTCTTCAATAACGGATTCCTGGCCCGATTTCATTTCCTCCTTAACGGAGTTGACGGCCCCTTCCATCTTTTCTTGGAAAGCAGTAAATGCAGTCATTTGCCTGAATTGTTCTTCCATCGCTCTTGTAACTGGCATTCAAAATCCCACTTCTGACACCAAAAATTGTTGCGTGCGTACGGGGTCGTTAGGAAATAAATGCACAAGTCCGATGAAAAATGAACAAAATTTATTATTACAACAAATATGCTTAAATTTCCTCAAATTATCGTGCAGAATTACAATATCTCACAGTAGTTATCTTTTAACTACTCAAACGTTCAATAGAAAATTCAAAACAGCTAAAGAAAGCTAATCAGCGAATTCGCTATAGTCAACAAGAGCAGTTTTCTAAACATCAAACTAAGTAACTACCACGAACTGAGAGGTTTTCCTCCTTTTATAAGATATTAAAATCGCGCGCGAGAATTTTCTAGTACTTTCTCGAAATCAAAAGAGATATTTATTAAATGTTAAATGCACGCGCTCTTGTATTTTCAATTTTCCTGCTTAGCTTTCTTTTAATATTCGTCACGCGCTGCACTGCGCGGGAAATAAAACAATTTAATTTACATTTCAACTAACAAGCTATTTAAATACCAAATCCGTAACAATATGTTCAATGAGCTTTTAGAATATTTTATATCAAAGAAGAGACTTATATCTCAGTGAAAACCCTGGTAAAAATTTACCAAGCAAAAATGCTCCTAAAGAAAAAAAGAATGAGTTCATTTTTATAATTGGGGGGCTTATGAATTGAAAAATCTATAAATCAAACATAAAACTGCGCATAATGCATTTTAAAGTGCAGCTAGATAGTTTATTACAAATTTGTTATAACACGTAAGAAATTCATGTTAAATTTCATGCGGGTATTTTCTTTCCATTTGAAATTTAAGACATACTAGGTTTAAGAAATAAACGCTAAAATTTTATGTATTTTTAAATTGAGACTTAAGGCTTATAATTTACAATCTCACACTGCAATCATTCATATGTATCGAAAAATATAGCAAATATTGTGAAATTACTACTATTGGCCCCACCAGTGACCGAGTGGTTAAGACCACTGAATGCTGGGAGTTCGTCCTGACTTAGATTATAGGCAAACGAGCTGGCTGCATGGCTTTCCTCTCAAGCGTAATGAGAATACGAGTCAGTTTTCCTTATTAAGTTCTCCACGAAGGCATGCTTCAACTTGGATAGCCCTCGACTTTGTCATATTCTAATAACCTAACTTTCGCTACAACTCCTGTGCACTTTTAAAGCAGCAGATGTTTAAACTACTGCTGTGATTAACAGATATTCAGAATCCTTGTCGAAATCGCAGTAACCATACAGTAAAAAAGTTTGCGAATCGGAAGTGACGATTCCTAACGTTATGATAAAAAGAAACTTAAAAACAATCGTACGACACATGTAATGAGCAATATTGTAGTAAGCAATAAAATTAACATAAATTTCAAGGTTCTAATTTAAATTCCTCACCTACTCACTTTCTTACAGAGATAACAATCAATACACATATTTTAGTGCTTTTAACGTGAATAATTTTTCTTCAGGTCTCTACTTTTAGTACAAAATAAGATCACCGACAATACACTAAATAACAATTCATATACGTGATTAAAATTGGATTTTCAGTCTTTAACAACTTGTTTTGGCAAGCTGTCTATGGCCAGATTTCCAACTGAAGTTTTACAGGTACTCTTCTAAATGGAGACCGACTAACGTACTTAGAAAAACTATTTCCCAGCTGTGTGAAGTTGGCAGAACTTAATTTCATGACATATTAACTCAAATATGAAGGAAAGTTGTAGTTGGCGGTCTTCTGAATCCGATGGAAGAACGCAGAAGTACCGAAAACTGGTTGACATGTTCTCCAGCTAACCACTGGCGCAGTTGACACAAGTTTCAGCATTTGTAACTCTTTGCCTTTCCGTTGATTTCTGGTTCTAAGGTACCGTTCCTATAGATTGAACACTATTTTTAACTATTAAATACTAGTATTAAAATACTTTATAGTATTTCTAATATTACAAACTACCTTAGCTTCTTTCATATGGTGAAACGTCTAGATAACATTGCCTTAGTTCAAAGAGTGCAATTTGAAGCGATTCATCGGATTTCAGACCACGGCGTTTCAAAAACATTACACATACAACAGTAATGAACGGTGCATGAAGTTAATGTTTTGACTACTCGAAGGTTTTGTCCACTTCAAGTTTTGAACTTAGCTTCCCCTGGTAACACGACTCACGCCTACGCCCTATCAGAGGCCCGTTCAGATCTGCGCTACTGAACGCCTTTAAATGCTTTGTTAGCGATTCTGCAGCTCAATCGAAGCTTGGAAGCTTTTAGTTTGAAAACACGAAGAATCCACGATGTCCTGAAATCAAGGCAGTCATGCGTAGAGCACCAAAGCTGCAGCTCATTCGCCCGCGAATTTTAAAACTGAAATGCAGATGCAAGACAGCCGATGCTTTTATACATCATACTTTTAAAACACCGAGTCATTTATAATGAATCTGAAGTTATCTGGAGCAATTTTCGAATAAATCGACAACGTTGTTTCAGAAAACCATGCAGAACTGCAATGTGCTTGTACTTGGAAAGTTTTATTTACTTGGTGGTGTTATTTCTTCTATCGTTAAGAACGCCCACAATCGTCACAGCAAATATTAACAAATTCAAGCATACCAACTTAAAAGCTAGCAATTTGTCTTCTGTTTTTAAGACAATAGAAAGGCGAAAACTTTGTTCGAATTTGCAATAAGTAATTTACCACTACAAGAAGTTTTCTCGGAAGCCTATTTCTAACATGTTCGGGGTCATGCTGTTAAAAGTACTTCAGAGCTACCTGCCGAAACCGCAATTGCGTCACACAGAAAAACTTAGTTCGTGTTGCTTTGTAATAAGGCAGATTCTAAAGATTAGAAGAGGACATAACAGTATTTAAGATTTTAGGAGATTTCATGCAGAACTACTTACTTATTGAAGTCTGAAATTACAGGATTTCAAATCGCAAACAAAGCAACAGAATAATCAACGTTCTCACCTGGCGAGAAAATCCGGCAATGAAGTAAATCACTAGAATGCAAAGAGCTTATGGAAGCTGACGTAAAACCTAAAACAGTACCGTTAGAATTCCGAAAAAGCAAGAATTTCAAATCAAGCGATAGCACAAGCCCATGCCTAGCAACTTACCTCGGAAAGCTGTCGATGAAAATTAATGCTAGGGAAGAGGTTAGGTCAAATTTCAAGAACTCGAAAACAGTACACGAAAACTAATTCGGGCAGATTTAGAAAATTAAGATGGTGCATATATTTGGTGAAGCTTTAAACGTAGATGACTAACCGAAATTGATACATACAATTTTGAGCGATCTGAAAAAATTCGCAAGTCGGGAAGGAATTACAGTAAACGGCCAGTCAAAATAAGAAAACTGAAAACATTTGAAAAGGTCCTAAATTCCAAGGTTCGAATAGCGAATTCCGAAGCAAAGATGTTTTGGAGGGCGAAATTAAACAAGTTAGGAAATTGAAAATAAACTTAGAGTCCCCTTTCCCCATTAACATTCAGGCTCCTCTAAAGCTATTTCGTAGTCTATGAAGAAAGTTAAGAATTTTTTAATTAGCAATAGCAAAATAACGGCAACTGGTTTTGAATAAACTGCTGAAGTATTTGTACATTTATGGTTGAACTACCGATTTCTTGAAGCTTTAAGAATTTCAGGATTTAAAGTCTATGGCGGTGATTATTTTAACCATAGTCAGTTATGTGAAAAAGATTAAAGTTTTAGTCTTGATTAAAATATCCAAGTTTCACACTTTGATAGTTTGCGTGTAGTTTGAGAAGTAAAGAATTCAGAACTCACTTTTAAAAGTTTATTTATAAAAATTGATTTTTCGGCACTTATATACATTTCATTCAAATTCACATTAGACATTGCGTACACTTAAAGACAATATATACAATATATCAAAATTTCTTAAAATTGCTTTCAGCGTTGTAAAAAACTTACGAGTTCAATTCCTGAAAGCTTTAAGTAATAACAAGCTTGTTTTAAAAACAGCTAAAATTTAAAAACTAGTTCAACTATAAAAATTTAAATACTATGAATATAAATTATGTCACAAAAAAGGAATGAGCGAGACTCGTCGCATACGTTTACAAATAGTTACCAGAGTCGACTCGTCAGAACAAGAACAGCGCTGTGCGCTTTAGGTCCAACAACGTAAGAGGCAACAATAAAAAGTTACATAAAACAGGTAAAACTGTCGTACAAGATGTCCGTTTAGAAATTACAACTTAAGGCGTCCCAAGTAGTCATTTATGAAAGATCCAAGATATAAATAACCATCGTGCTCTTTGACTTCAGACAAATCGCTGATTTTTCCGTCCGGAGAGTGAAAGCTTCGCAAGATTTTTCCATTTTCATCAAACTCGATGACAAGGCCATGCCGACGAAGTAATGGGAGGACGTAATCACCCCGTTTAAACTGGAAAAGAATTTCAAAAGAGTGCAGGTGTATATGCAGTTTACCCTTATCAAGCTTCAATTTCATATTTACAGAGAGTGTTCACACATTTTTGTAACGATTGATCTAAACAAACCTTAGAATTTCATTCAGATATGTTCAGTCTGATAGCCCTTTTGTTGAACTATCCTATTACATCTTGATTTCCAAGATAAGTCCTTTTCTTAAAACGTTGATATTATTCCACTTTTTCACAATCTTCCAGAGTCCATTCAATGTTTTTGGATGCCGCTTATAAAGAGGTTGTTTAAAGTCCAAATGCAGAGTAATCCATGGGTGACACAGAGGTTGAGTGGTATGCATTTAAAGGGAATAGCTTTAATACCAGTTTTATCTTTTTTCAAAAATAGAGCAGTAAATCTAGAAGTATGGCTTGGAGCTTTATTCTGATGGAACTTAACAGTGAAGATTGGATAAAGAGATGAAATTTCTTTAAAGATAAGTGTTAAAACATTTGATAGTAATCCGAATTATTTCACATTTGTTTTTACTTTCCTTATTTTAAGTTTTCCGTTATAAGAGAATCAAGTAATATCCACAACACCTTTAGAAAAACTTTTGTTGTTTTCTCCGAACCAACATTTTTTGTAGTAATTCAATCTGTTTCTATTGCAGTCAGACAGTATATCCAAGCCTCAATTGTAACTATATTTAAGTTTTTCACCTGCCAAATAATTTTCACACAGCAATCTGCACATAGTCTTACGCTGAAAAACATCGTTACGCGATGGATACAATTTTTTGTTTTGATTAGCTTTAAATCAGATTTTTAATTTTTGTTCAGTCCATACAGAGATCTTTAAGAATTTTGCAATAACTCTTTGGAGGTGGGGGAGCTGGATTTTCCTTTAAAACACGAGATGCGAGTTTAGATTTAATAAGAGCTGTAGGTACCTTCGCTCGATATGCATTTTTGCTCTTTTACCAGTCGCGTGTAATCGTTGACGTTTCTTTCATATTAATTACATTTCTTATACATGTAGAAATATTAAAACCACGATTTTCGCATCTTTTTTTAATAATTAAGTATTTCTCCTCGATCCACTGTTTATTTTTCAGCGACATTTTATAGAAAAGAATACTTTTAATGCTGCAGATAATAAACCTTCGAATTTGATGCAAGTCACGTTTGTATTTTATAATATTTATAATTGATGGGAAAATCAAAATTGTTACATAAATGTGTGAACACTAAGAAAACTAAAATTGAACTAAAAATAATTTTATAGCAAGATTACAAATTTCTCTACTACATATTTACTAAATACAAAATTAATCTTAGGAAATTTTTAGCTACAGCAAGACTAATACTTTATTCCGATTTCATGAAGTTAATTTGAGAGTATTTAAGATACTGCTTATACAAAGAAACTAAAATTTGAAATACGAATAACTAGTAGAACTAACCTTATAAGCAACTTCTTTTAGAACTGGATAGGATGCCATTTCAGCAAGGCTCACTAGTAGAGTTCCGAAAGCATGATGCAGTCGCGCCCATATGATCTTAACGGTAGGATAAGGATTCATATAATCCATAAATAAGGGGTTTGTAAAGTTCCTTGCTGATGTGAAACCGACCCAATAAGTACCCCGTGAACTAGTTCTTATGTTATCAGGCTCACCAGGTAATACATCAGCAAATATTTCCAACTGACCCTTCTTGCTGCCTTTTAAATTATACCTACAAGTAGGAAAAATGAATTTCAGCATGTATTCCATTAATGCAGTTAAAAACTCACTTAAAACATCGAAGTTAGACTAGAATTCTGAGGTGAATAGACTGTAGATTAAACTCAAATTGCAAATTTAATACTATATTGAAGGAGGAACTTTAAACATACCAATAGAGTGGTCTCAAACTGGCAGATCTCGAAAAATATTACATGATCAGCGAACACTTTTAACCTATTCATTTGTTGTAAATATGCTTTACAGTTTTGTACACTTAGAACTATGAATTGATATCATGCTCAAAACGATTAGTGAAGGAAAAACAAAACGATAGATTGAGTGCTATGTCAGGCAAACTTCCCAGGTATCAGTAAATATAATTTCTCTAGGCACAGTCAGCCATTCAGTATTCTGGCATCCCTAGTTTTTTCCCCTTCGTAGAGTTTGCCAATATATGCATCTTTCACTTAAATCAATCATCGATTGATTAACCACATGCATAGCTACCCAAGTTCACTTTGCAATACAGATGACAAATTAACAGGACCTGTTTATTCCTGCTTGCCATACCTACACATCAATACCCATCGCTTAGAATTTTGCATAACACTGAATGTTGCTTTCATGCGGAAATTCAGTTGAATTAAAGTTATACATCGGATTTTAAGAGATTGTCCTTTTCATTCGCAGATTCATTTATCTGAAATCTGTACTAGTATTTTGCGCAGTAAAATTGCAAGTTTTATTTGTAATAAGAAAATCAGTTTAAAAAATACTCTGTACACGTTAAAATAAGAAATTTATAAAGGCAAGCTTCGGAAGAAACGTTAGTTTCTGAAATTTGGTTACTAAAGCAAATAATCTTGAAATTGATAAATTTAATTACACATATGTACATTTCTGTACCAGTGAAAGTAAGATTAGCTTCTCAGTCCAACCCAATTTAATAGTTTTCGTAGGTTTATGTTTACAATCCTAACCCAATTTAATAGTTTTGGTAGGTTGTTTATTTTTAAAGTTTACTGCTTAAACTTTATCCAGAGATACAACTTAAAATCAGTTCGTAAGCCAACACAAATCAACGAAACCCCAAGTGATTTACGATGTCAGTTGAAATTATAAATTGTTCAAGAACAGTTGAACCTTCCAACGCAGATATGAAACTAGTAGGTTTTACAAGAGGCGTTAGATTTAATTTGAAGGAATTTCGGAATTTTAAGAATTATTGGGATACAATTCCTCTGAAAAGAACCTGGTGCACACATTCTGAAACAGGAATATATAAATGTAGAATAAAATGGGCGAATTTGCAAGTGAAAATGCAGCTAACGTTTAAAGGATACTTGAAAAATAAAGAAAAATTCAGAACAGTTAAAGCACTGAAAGGTTTACAGATGTTATTGAAACACTGAAAAAATTGTCCATGGAAAAGTTTAAAGCCAGAACTTATTGAAATGCTAAGAAAGTGAAATCGAGTATAAAGGAGGTTGGGTGGTTGAAGCCACCAGAAATCTACAAACGGAGCTAATTTAGAGAGCGATGCAAGTCAAGTATATGATCAACTTTTGTTAGTACTTGTCTAAAGGATAACCTCGATTTTTTTCCTATAGAAAGCTTTTTTACGCAGTTTAATATTAAACCTTCGATTGACCGATGAGCAAATGCAATTTGTGATCAAGAGTTTGCTTCGGAGAAAAATTGATAGAATAAGAACTGAAAAGATGCTAAGGGAGCAAGAAATAAATTTAGTTACACATATGTACTTTTCTGTACCAGTGAAAGATTAGGTTCTTATTCTAGCCCAATTTAATAGTTTTCGTAGGTTTTTATTTTTAAAGTTTACTGGTTAAATCAACAGAACTAATTAAAACCGACAGTCTGAGAAATTAAACATTGAACTGTCAACTGTAACCAACATATTTCTTGCGGGTAGCAGCCTTTATATTTCAGGTAGAAAATGATACAAACGCATTATGGTTGATGCACATCTTGGTAAGAATTTAGTATGCGCCTCGGTACGTGAAGAAAACAAGAACATTTAACCGAAAGTCAATTTTAACCATGGAGGGGAGAAAAGCAAGTTTGTAAAAGTATAGACAAAGCATAGAAAATACAAATGGACATTGAAATAGTTCTATTACAAATTTTTAATAAAAGTTATTTCAAGAGAATTTCAAACGGAAACTCGCAATTGCGTTACGCAACACCAGGCTATAAAGGAGCGATACCCATACATATGGGTTAAGTACGATGAAATGTACACCATCAGGTCAGTTCCTACAGTAGTGGCAAATTCGGTCGGTATCCTTTCAAGTGGAAGTTACCTGTGCAAGGAGAAACATTACCCAATGATTTTATTAATGATGAAAATGATTATCAATTATTAAATTACATATTTAAAATTAAATGGATACTCTTAAGAACGGTCCCGTTTATTATCGTACAAAATATTTCCGCCCCGTCAGCGGCTTTAAGACCTTGCAATCGGTCCGTATGCAGTTGGAGACGAATGTAGAGATATAATTGCCACTTCAGCCAGCAGCGTAGCAAGGCAGTGTTGCATAGTGCGGAAAAAGCTCGATAAAATTTGAAGTCATACCTCAATATCCTTCGATTAGAAATCTCGCAAATCAGAAGGGCCGTTTTATCATGTGTTAGCTGAACACCATTCGGGAAATGAGAGCTCCGAACTAAAACTTCGGTTTCTCCAGAGTTCATATTATATTTAATTACACTAAAAAGGAAAAAATCAATGCAGTTAAAATTCTTACTTAGTTAAATTTGTCTTTTTATAATAGCTAAAAAGTTTCTTACCGACCATCTCCTTCATATTCAGTCATCAAGTAGTAAATTGTAGACAGATCCCACCTGCGACTCGCATCAGAAAAATATATGTTGCCTTCATCGTCTATGTCTAAATCATCTGGAAAATTCAAATTCCGTCCCTCTACTAGCACATTGGAAGGTAATATGCGCGTCAGAGCACCTAAAATATCGAGCTTAACTTAAATGGGTATACCACTGGGATAAATAAAGTATCAGATTATTCAGAGCACAGAGCAAATTTGAGGTTGGTTGACTTTTAATGGCACAAAACCTTGAGCTATTAGCAAATTTGAGGTAATTTAAGTCAAACTTCTGTTGCCTTCAGTTTAAGGCGGAATTTTGAAACTTTAGATACCTATGAATAGTTTAAAAACTGACATTAAGATCGATTGAATTTCCAAAGTACAGATTCAAGATAAGCACACTTATGCCAACACGCTAAAGATTATTACAACACATTTAAGATAATTTATTCGCCGGATAAGTGAGAATATGCTGCGGAAGAAAGCAATAGCCAATAACCAATAAATACGTAGTCCGTTTTCAAATACGAAATAAGGTATTTGAATAATTCAGTTTCAATCTTAGATTGTAAAAAGCATCTGAAAGATTGCCACTCATAGTATTCTATACATACTGTAAAACCTGTTCACATTAGCGGAAAGAACTCCTTGGAAATATCCTGAACTTGATAGAGGTTCGTCAAGTTGAAGGATATAGCTAAATGTTAAGCTACAAAATAGGTTCCAATCTAGCAAATAGCGGTTACTTGTTTTGATCAACGTAGCAAATAATTTACGAGTTATGAAATGCTTTTGATATAATCCAATTTTTACTCGCTGTAGCATAAATATTAGGTAATGACTTCAGATTTATTAAAATCCGAAAGAATTACACGTGGGCGGTTGTGGAAAAACGTTAAATGGAAGAACGAAGACTCGTTAAGCATACATATGAAATACAAAATGCATCAAGATGCGACGGCAGATTTAAGAATCACGTTTGGCATTCAGTTGTTAGTTAAAGGCAAATCGACTCAAGGGCTATCTGCCTGTGGAGTAGGATGCCTTCGTTTAGGACTTTGAGGGGAACTTGCTCGCATACAAGCTACCCACGGAGGAAACCATGAAAGCAGCCAGCCCGTTTTGCCCGAGATTTGATCTCAGAGCTACCAGTGTCAAACGACTCCGCTTAATCCAAATTCGCTTCAAAAGACGTTTGAATTTATGTTTGATGGCTTACCCGTTGTAAAATTCATGCTGAAAATACCGTAATAGGCATCAATTACATAGAGAAGGCCATCTTTTCCTTTTCTCAAACCCAAGGGGCGTCCGCATAGTCGTTCTTCGTACGGCATGTCTGGAAAAGCAAAACATTGCACTAAGGAAAACATGGATAACATACATGAACACCGAATTTTAATATTGGTTCTACATTGAACAAACCTTAAAAATTACTATAATAAATGTTTAAGATACAGTAAGGCAAATTAACATTAGAAATAAACTAGCTCATAAAAAAGAGTGGATTTCATGTCCTGGTAAAGAGGATCTGGTAACAGTCTTAACGTTACAGTAAAACGTTAACTACTTTGAATGGAAGAAACCAAACGAACAAACTGAACTCGTTCCACTTTTAGCAGCATACAACTACGAAACCGACCGAAATTTGAATAAATATTGCCGAAACTTACGGCAAAATCTACCAGTTTGAGCGACAGTTGTTACTTTATCATCCTTCACTTTGACAATTCTTCCATCCTCCAGCCCAGTGTACAAATATCCTGAAATGAAAAATTTGCTTTAAAAGAATATTGGCTAGCGACATCATAGTGAATAAAAATTATGTTGGAGATACTCAACTTATAAATTTAACAGCGCAAGTTACTTTTATTTAAGCCATGATAGGATATTTAAGGAAATTTCAAGTACATTTAAGCTATTGTACATAACAGCCATTCAAGTATTTAAGATATAAATTTCATGCATTTAAAAAAATCAGAAAAAAGGACAAAAAGTTGTTAAAGGAATAGCCTTCGAAATGACAGGGTTCTTTATACTCTACAGTAGCAGAAAGTAAAATACGAACCGTACAAGAAATGATCAGGGGATCATTTTCGAGGCATAGGTGCCAAACTTAAGAACGAAGACGAGTTAAAAGTTTTGTGTAAGAGAAGAGGTATGAAGTGATTTTAAAAGAACTTGAAGATTTGTACAGCATGTTCAGCGATTGACCTAAAGTAAACTTACCGTCATGAAATATAATGGATTCCGGTCCGTTCAAGATGCCTTTGAACAAACGCTCAGCTTCATTCAACTTCCAGTTTTCTTCTAAAGGACCGCGGAAAGCAGGAAATGGTATACTATAAACAGAATTTAAAAATCAGAATGAATTCACAATAATTTATAATACGTATAGCCTGTAGCTTTCCAAAATCAGTTCTTCGTAAGGATTTCCATCTTAAAGAAAGCGTTAAATTATAGTTTCAAGTTCAGCATCTTGTGACTTAACGTTATTTCCTAACGTTGCGAATGTATAATCTGTTGAACAGTTTAAAATTTGATGCATTTTAAAGTAAACAATCAACTAGTACCGTTTTATTTCTTGACGTCGCTGCAAAATCAAGCTAAGCTGTTAATGGTATTACTAAATCTAGGTATACGTAATGAAACAAATGCAGCGAACAAACAAAATGAGTCTTTAAAAGGATCTGCAAAATTTAAACGGTCAAAGGAAAAAGCAATTATGAATCCTGTAGGCAATTCAGAAATTTTCAACTTAAAGAGCTTAATTTCTCCAATAACACAGCCTATGGTCTAATAAGTTATCTAAAATGTGCAAAGTGTGTAATTGCCTACGGGGAGGGATGCCTTCGTGGACGACTTTCTGTACTTTTTTGCCGGCGCAAACGATAAAGTCGCCAATAATAGTACAACTGATGCCAAACTGAATACTTCGCTGGTAACCTTTTACGGCTCATTTTCAAAACAAGTCGCAGCCATTTGTTAACAGATTGATTGTTTCTTTCAATACTGGCATACAATTACATAGAATATTTGCAATAATAATTAAATTTTATGCCCTACGACCATTCGCGGTAATTAATGATGATGCAATCACATCGCTCACCCGAAGGCGAAAATATAGAAAAGGCAAAATCAAGGGTTAAATTCATCCATTCTAATGATAATGCACTACGAAGTAAAGCACTGCAGTTTTACAAAATTTCTGAGTAAGCTATTCGTACGAATTGAAATAATTATTGCATTTAAACTTATATTCCAAATTGAGATTTAGCTTGAAATTAATGTAGATCATTACCGAGGGAATGAGATTTATGTACCGTAGTTTACGTGAGATGAGATCACTTGGGGTCACGTGATACGAACCAGCGAATCAGGATGTTGAACCATGATAGCATAGTAAATTCTTAAATTAACTCTTTACAAATTTAATGTCTTTATTGGCTGTTTACAAAATTTTAAACCATATTAATATGTTTATGCCTTCAAAATAAAAAATTCGTAGAACTAACATTTGTTAAAAATTTTTATGTGTAAACTATGTTGTCGCCAACAAAGTCTGCTTGGCGAGATTTGGGCCGGCGAAACGGAAAAGTACCCGACTTTCTAAGGGAACTGGCTCGTATACACGTTACACATGATGAAAAAGAGGAAAACGCCCATGCAGCCAGCCCGTTCGTGGGATTCGAACCTCGGATCGAACTACCAGTGTTCAGCGACTTTACCCGCTCGGACACTGGTGGGCCTAAAATGTCCAAAGATAAAGTGACAAACTTGTTAAGAACTAGGAAGTCATTTCGTCGCGTATTTATAGATTAATACAAGAGGAACAACTCTGGAAAATTATAAAGGGTCATGTTGCAATTGACAATTTCAGATTTACAGCAATAAATTCAAACTTAAACAAGATCTCTTCATACTAAAGTATTCGGTGGTCGTAAAAAATGAAGATTCATTAAATAAATGCCATTAATAGCCAGACTACCAAGGTATACTTGAGCTAAACCATTAAAGCAACTAAAAAATTAAACGTAGAAAAGTTATTTTAGAAAAATGGTTATTCCGAGTTTCGGAACCGCGAAAACGCGATTTTACACGAAGTAATCAACATAATTACTTACACACAATAATACAACGGACTAAAATGATATCTGCAAAGATACTTGCAGAATAAGAACAATTAGGCAACAATTTTAAAGCGGCGTAAGAGAAGTAAACTTTTACATATGCCAAACAAATTCTGTTGAATCTGCTAGGGAAATTCTCATCTGGCAAGTACGGAAATAGCGTGCTTAATATTACGAAATGATCGATAAAGAACAAGTTGCCAAAAGGTAGACTGATTAAGTAATCAGGGGGAAGTAGATTTTATAATATCAAGCATCAGAATTTCTGCGATGAATCATGATTAAGTTTAAAACAAAGTAAAATCTTTGGAGAAAGCTTATGAATATAATGCGTTACTCTAAATGGGGCTGATTAAAATACTCGGAGATTTGCATTAAGTGGTTGCGCTGAAATTGGATGAGATTACGGATGCATAATTTAAAGAAATTTGAAAACAACGGAGATAAATTGTGTCCAAGGCTAAAATTATTCGAAACACGGATCTTATTAAGAGTTATAATCTTTTATTACTTCTAAATGCCTTAAAATCAGTCTACATCGGAAATCCTGCACGTGTAGTGGAAGAAAGTGTTATAGAAGCTGCACATTTGAATAAAATCGATTGCAATATGAAAAAGGTGATCAAAGGTCTATGTTTACAGCAGCTATGCTAGCAAGATTTAATGAAACACATTAACAATTTTTTAATTTAAGGCCCAATATTAGGTTAGTTTATCATATTTAGAATTTTATACTTGTAACAAAGAATATTATGTTTCACTTGTACTAGCCTTTATCATTTTAAATAAAGTTAACCCAAATATTGAGACAGTATATAAGGAGAAAAATTACTCATTTCATGGTTCAAGAAATGAAAAGAAAGCTCAAGCAAATATTTTACGCTACGTAATACTTCGGAAATTGGAAAGTATCAAGATTCCACTTAAGCAATTCTTAGCAATTCTGTGTGCCGAGTTATAACAAAAGGGGAATAACTCGGTTTATTGCATATATATATACTATATAAATGGACATCTATGTGACGGAAGATACAACTAAAGAACCCCTTTAACATTAAAATCTAATGAAAGGTTACATATAAACTAGCTAAATTTTTAGTATTGCGCACTTTCATCAAGTTTAGATAGTAAAGGTATGAGAATATTATCTTCCGAAGTTAAGAAATTTTAATTTGTGGTCATGTAATACGCGGCAGGCGTAGGCCGTCAAATTAGTTTGGTATGGAAAATTAACGCAGGGAGACTCGTTTTTATTTAATGGGTTAGTATTTTTTACTAAAGCCTAGAGAAAAGTCATGATGCAAGTTGACAATTATGTTTTGGAAGATGTTGGTTTTAATACGGGAACCACAACACTGAAAAATAGATATTTGACATTCTAGGGCTTCGAAATACAAATTGGTTACTGAAATAGGTAGTAACCGATGTGGAGGTTTGCAAGTACGAGAAAGATCTCAAAACTAGTTTTAAACGGATAAGACTAAAAATTCAGATGCCTCCATACAATATTGATAATTTGGGTGAAAAGAGTTAGTTTCGTAATGAAATTTGGGAGGATTGTCATGGCGCTATGGCTAACAAAGCACTTAAATCCTGTACTTTTACATGCTGCAACATAAGACTTTACAATTTTCTGAGTGCAATATCCAAAATGGATAGTAAAGTAGTTAGTGCTAAGCCACTCCTAGCTTTACAGAATAAATCTATTGTTAAATTACCTTTTGCCGCTAAGTTCACTGGAACTTCGAACCGCCACGAAATGAGAGTGCGTTAAATGTGCATGATAAGGCTGCGGAATCGTTATCAAAAAGTGAAAGATTTCAGAAATTTTTATATGAATTTATCCAAGTAATTCTCTATTGGTAAACCACCAGCCAAGTTATATGCGTCAAGGATAAAATATTCCTTATAAAGGACTTCGTGTTAACACGTTGAGCGCGGCACCGGAATTTTCGTTTGGCCGACAGTATTAAAGTTACAAAATAAACATAGTCTCAATGAAATGTGATCAAATTTAGTTTTAATGAAATTTATTGAAACGTTCTAAACAAAAATACGGCGCCGCGCTCAACGTGTTAAAGTTTCTCACCGAGGTGGTAAGTTTAATTCTTAAGAGTCATTCAATATTAATTAGGAGTGCAGTACAGATGAATACATTAATGAAGGTAGGAGCTGGATGTGAATACTGCTAAATAAGAACATGGCAGATGTTTAAAACTTTCTCCCAATTTATTCAACGGTTAGCACACTAAACTACTCTGTTATCGGAACCCGGATGCAAAAATTCATGTATACATGGTTGAGTGTTTTTAGGTATGGATGCACATATGTATTTACGCATGTACATTTCTAAACCCTGTCTCGATAATAGAGTACCTTAATTGAATTAGATACACTTTAATTCTTAAAGAAAAATCTAATTTCGTGAATGGATGCATGTGTTTGGTGCCCATTTTCTACTATTGTAAATAATTTTACCTGTAAGCCTTAGGCCTGAAGTCCAGAAACGTCGGTGAATACCTTACGACAAGATAGATCGCCGCCGTTAGGAGTAGGATCTTCACAAAAGTCTTCATTCTGAAATAAAAGTCACCATAAATAACTCAATTTTAAGAGGGCAGTTATGATTAGCCATTACATTCCCTCCGAGTTTATAATAAGAGTTCAGAAGGATTTCCGAACACTTTTGAAGTACTGAATTGGTGGATTATAAAAAATTGTAAAGGCTACCGAGACTAGTTGCTTGTTCAGAAATGTGGGTCGTTTTCTGCTAAATTACGGCTACTTTACGTAGAGGAAAACTTAAAGCTTCATCCTTTGACCAGCAGACAGAAGCACATCCGCATATCAAAGCATCTTGCTGCTTGTGGTCATTGCGCGTTTAATTCAAGTACATTTCTGTAACGGTGCCATGTTTGGTTTATTTGATTAGGGAAAGACTCGTTAGAGCTGTTTGCCGAATGGCACAGATACGTCAGTGGAAGTATGAGGGATATTGGCTCGTATAAATGTTACACACGGGAAAATAATGAAAATGAACCATGCAGCCAGGCTGTTCGACGGTATTCGAACCCCGGATCGAATTACCAATGTTCAGCGAATTTACCACTTGGCCGCTGTGGGCTTCAAAGTAACAATGTAAGGAGAAATTTCTGAAGCTGTTTCACGTGCAGTCAAGGTCGATTTATATTCATCTTAATACAAAATTTAATCTTGCGTCAAGCAACTTATTTTAACTTCAGCTGCACGGAAAATGTCTAGGGATCTGAGCACCCAAGACGACAGCATACCAACGCATAATTTGTTCTGTGAAAGTGTTCGGCAACTCCTAAAATTAATCCAACTCCAACTGTTCATTAAAAACTTGAAGTTACCACTTTGAACTCTTAAAGTGAAAACAACGCCCAGTAACCATCCAAACAGGATACATTTAAAATCATAGCTGAATATAATGCTGAGAAGTAAAGTGACAAGTATTGTAGAATCCGCGCACTTTTCATTAATACCCATTGACCATAACGAAAGAGTTTAAATAACTCGGAAGAAAATTATTCGATATTGCGCCTGCCTGCAGCATTTAGGCCCAACAACTCCACCCAATTCTAAAATCGGTTGTCAAGCATTAAAAACGCTTCTAATATTTCGCCTTAAAAAATATAGTGGCTCTCAAATTTATAATAACATGCTACCGAGTTTTAAAAAATCAAGTTCATTATATGAAGTTGGAAAGACAGTAGGAATCAAGTTAGATTAGTAAAAGATTCAATTTTTCCGGGCCTCGATAGCTAGCTGACGAAAGTGTTTAGAGGAAAGGAACAAAATACTCGTAGTTAAGTTTACAGCTTGGAGTTCTTAAAATTTTGAAAAACAGTGAATATTAATGGGCATTATCCTGTAGGATTCACATCCCGCGAAACTTCAGGTAAAAAACAAATTGAAGGAGACTTAGAGATTTCGAGACACAGAATTTTAAGACTCATTACTAGCTTCCTATATTTTACAATAAACGGGCTGTTTTTTTAACAAAACTGCTAGCAAATTTAAACTAACGCAATTTAAGAACTTAGGTTTCCAAGCGCAAAGGAGCTATTGATGTTGAACGTTATATTAGAGGTCATTCCCGCAAGATTATTGAGTAAAGATTTTTCTTTCCATCAACGACGGGGCATAGAGTAGTCCACAAAGGGCAATTAACGTATCGCCAGATGTTCCCCCGCCAACGGAATTAACTTTGCTATGTAGTATGAGTGTGACCACGAACACTTAACATTTACCGATACAAAAATATAAAATATGTTAAAGGCAATGTACATTGTTATTTATGGTTAAATTAGAGTACATGGATCCGGATACCCCGCATGAGCACGGCTCATTTTTACATAGTCGAAAACGATGCAGATAAGTCATGAAGGGTCCATGCCCTGGTTAGGAGCTGTGTTATAAAAGTGTTGAACCAAGTACTAATGGAGGGAACATTTTTCGTGAAATTCCTCTTAATTAAAATCCACGAGGAGTTATGAATATTCGGGACAAAATATACGAGAGCTAACTGCTTAGGTGAAGGAACGCCTTCGTGAAAGCCTTTCAAAGGAAACTGGCTCGTATTCAGGTTGGAAATGTAGGAAACAATTCTTTGACTATTCCAGTTTAAAGTTCAAATCGATTGCTATAGATTATTTAAATAGCAAAGCGCTCGAGGGATGTTTACACTTGAATGCTTGCAGTATAGGTTAAGTACATAAGCATTATGCATTATGCATTATGAATAGACATTTCAGTTAATTCAAAAGTGCATATATCATTTACTACTTCCAAAAGAGTTTACACACACAAACTTGCGTATACGGTCACTTAATCGCATTTCGCAGCTACTAGATACACAAACAATTATAGTTGTCAAATTCTTACAGAATACACATCAATAAAGCTAAGGTTAATTTCTCAGTTAATTTTTAACTACGTAGTTTTTTATCTGAATTTACACGGGCCGGTTTTGTATTCGTGACTTACGCTGAAATTTTTATTTCAAAATTCACGCTATGCAGCTCAACTTTTTTATTAAATATGGAAATTCGTCCAACATTACGCACTTAATGAAATATTAGGTAGAATATAGCTTACCCGGAAAAAGTTACAAAATCAGAGCATTTCTCGTTATCTTCGTACCTTGGGCTTTAAGTGAGCTTCAAAGAAAGGAAACGCCGATTAAACACTTTCCGGAATGGAAAAAATTAATCTGATAAGATCCTAGTTATTGAAATAACGATAACCGTGCTTTACAGAACGAATGAGTACCTCCATTGTAGATAATTCTAAATAAGAAAAGCCAGAGTTTATGCCCTTTGTATTTCTTAATTGAAACGTAGGAGGCTACTGTTGCAATAGTTCAGAATTAAAAGAATGAACTGCAAGTAACGATTTTGGTTGATCGTTATTTAGCATTAATTTCCCCCCTTTTAACGCAATCTTCTCAATTAAGAGTTCGTTAGTTTAAAATGTTTCCGAGCGAAAAGACTAATTTTTAGTTCACACTGCTAGTGATAAGATGTTCAAGTTAATAGCCTAGAATCACATCGATACGTATTGTTGCAAGGATTTACTGCTTAGAAGACTGCTTAAGCTGGCTCAGTACCGTCTCGGTTATCAGTAGGCGGTAGTCATAAATAAAAAGGGGCCGTCACTGAAAAACATGTTAGTATCGCAGATATAGGGGCTGGTTAACTCGCTTAGTGAAGCCTGTGGCAAAACATGTTGTGCAAGCTTTCTTCCCATTTTTTTTCGAGGGAGGGAGATGAGTTTGGGATGAATAACAAACAAGTTACTTGCGTGAAATAGCCTTTGAATTGAAAGAAAATAAGTTTCTTTTTGCAAGTTTTGAGGGTTTCATCCTGCACCAAGATTTTTTCAGAGACATGAAAACGGAAGAACCTAAACAGTTCTAGATTTAATATGGATATGATTAAAATAATCTGTTTATACAATGATCATTATATATGTATATATAATTTTTTAATTATTTTTTCCAAGATGTAGAAGTAATGGATTTTTCAGATCCTTACGATTTTAAAAGTAAGTTTATAATTAATTCTCATTCGTCATTACAAATTGTAATTAATGTCCGAAATTTTAAGTATAAGGATATTATACAGAGTTTCGCGGCTATTCCAAGAGACATAAGTGTTTTATGTTTAAAAAAAGGGACAAGTTACATACGAAATTTTTACTTGTTTCTGGTTTTATGTATTTAAAACGTTCAGAAATTAACATTTAAGACAAACAAAGTTTAACACAGTTTAAGATTTGGAGATCTTTGGAAGTAAAAGCATGCGGCATATACTTAGTTTGCCTTAAGCAAAAATTATGTAACAGACGGAGACTTCAGTTTTTAGAAGATACAGCACAAGAGATCTGGGAGGCATAATCGAAGCATTATTGAAAGTGTAAGATGAAGCGAGGAATATTTAAGCGCGGCTCTGATAAAGAAGCTGTAAAATTTTATCGAAACTCATATAGCAGAGATACTGCTCTAACTGAAAAGCACATATTTCATGAAATACCATAGTAACGAAAGCACGAAAATGAAGCAAACGGTTAAATAATGAACTCGGGCACTCAAAACGGTGCATGCACAAATGAAGCTGAACATAAACTGATTAAAAAGAAAGAAATGTAAAGCTACCATTCTAACAAAATAACTTCAATACAGAATAAAAAGCATATATAGCAAAAACACTTACCTAAAAGCTAAAACAAATAAAAAATATCTACTAAAACCTTTAAAAACAAATATTCCAAACGACCAACAGCGAACTCTCACAGAGCCGCTGTTTTATGTACAGCCAAGCGCCACGGTAGTGCCATGTGAGTTATTTTCCGCTATTTCCGCGCAGCTTCACTGGGCATGACGTCATCTCCACCCTCATCTACATGATCCTGCGCTTGCAGTTAAAATGAAATTTATTTAATTTGTTAACGTAAACTATTCCCGTTTGCGACAGAGGGTGGCGAAGCAGTGCGCTCTTTTAATTTCAGAAGTAAAAGCAAATTTTGTAAAAACTTATTTCGCGCAGAATAATTCTGTCGTACTGCTTTGTTCTGATTTACAAGATGAAGCTCTAAAGTCTTCAGTCAGGGTTGCCGAAAATAAGTTATTTACTTTTTTTCTGTGCACAAAAATTTGCTTTCGTTTACAGGGGGGGGATCTCGCCATTTTTTACACAAGCATATTTTGAAATGTTTGAAAAATGCTTGCTTTGTTATTTGCCTGTTGCTATGAGCTGATGAAAATATCTTTGATTATATTCCGCTGGTAGTCGCTGGATAGCGTAGCCAGATTGTTAATCTTTCAATTTAAACTTCGACTTGCTTTAATCTGAGTCATCGTTGTCTATCCAACCTAAAGGAAGCGAAAATTAATTTTACTAATCGTTTTGTTTCTGTAACCTCAAGCTGAAATTAAAATTAAATTTTTGAATTGTTTTGCTTTACTTAGTGTTCTGGTATTGAGATAAAGACTAGAAGATAAATCGCCAGAGAGCCTAACAAGGTTTGACTAGTGTTTAGATCAAGACAAACTGAGTTCAAACTTGTAAATCTAATCTCAAGAACAGTGTTTCTCAGCCGAAGTTTCTTGGACCCTTGCCGGTTCGCAGGACATTGATAGGAGTTCCGCAAAATACAGCGATGATTAACTCGTATATTGATATATTTTTGAGTCACTTCTGTGTTGTATTTCATATTCTTGTTTTCCAATTTACTTTGATTATCTAAATTTTATAATTACCGTAATTGCTAAATTTTGTTTATTCCGCATGGGTACTTTCGGGGTTTAAGTGGTTAGAACTTCTAGCTAACTTTTGAAATACTTTGTGGTTTGAACCCAGGAAGAGGCCACGACTCATTTTCCATGTTTTTTGGTCCGAATTGTATAATGGTCTATATACAAATTCACATATTAATTACTTAATTCAACTTCTTTATCTTATGCTTTTTAACACTGTCAATATACCGTTAAGTCAGAGTGACTGCCTTTTCTATACTTCCATACTAGATCTAGTGTTTTTAACGTATGACTACATTTCTCCATAATGATATGATGGGAAAGCCAAAATTAAGACACTATTTGATATGTGAGCGAACGTGGGCACTATTTGATGTGCGCGCGGTCATTTTGAATGAATAAATTGAATAAATAAAAATAAAACAAAATAAAATATATATGTGTGTGTAAACTCTTTTGTTTGTTTTATTTGTTCTGTAACATCCTCAGATTTCCATTAGTAATAATATGCATTAAACACCAGCGGCTTTTTAAACTAAAAGAGGGAGGCCTACATCAGTTTTTTACAAACTTAGTGAATTATTTTCAGAAGTTAAAGATAGAAATAAATGTGTATAACATTAATAAAGTTGGGTAATCTTCTTTGATATCACGAAGTGGAACCGAACTTTAGCCAGACTGACAGCGACTTAGAATAACAACTGAGCCTTGAGCAGGGTGTAAAAGACTATTTAAAACTAAAGAACAGATGGCACAGAGGGTGCTTACAACTCAGGCAGAACATAGGCGAGATAATTTAAAATAACAGTGAGTTCAAATGTAAAATTTAAATTTTATTAACAGAAGGCTACAGGAGTTGGCTCAAAACCTAACCGGCGTAGATATTAAAATGTCGGCAATTATAATGAAAGGCCAAAAATTACAAATCTTAGCTCAACTGGCAACCTTGTAAGATGGCCTAGAGAGGAACATGCTCTGTCTTACAATTTAAAAACCTCATTTTAAATATCCACGAGCTAATTTGCATTCTGGAGTAGAAATGGAAGAAAGAAGTGACAGTAAAGGTTCTAAATCATAAAAATAACTGGTTAATCAGCATAAAGAAATTTTACGCGCTGATGAATAAAAGTAAGTATTAACACAAATTTACACGTATATATTATTTAAGACAGCAAGTGATCTTCTTTTGAGTTTGTTTCAGACAAAAACTTAAAATATCAATAACAAGCATCGTTTAAAGAATATTTTCCCAAGTCTGTATTGATTCTAGATTAAACTCTCTTCGAAGTCTCTGCTGTTGTATAGTAAAAACAGATCAATATGTTTCTTCTGCTAGTCTAGGACTTTAATTATGTCACGTCAAAATTCAATCCCATGACTCAACGATGCGTTGTGAAAGAACTACGAGTCCTTTAGATTCAGACTTACAGAATACTTTGGAGTATGAATTGGTGCAGTTTACTCGGTATGCGCTAGAATCTAGTATAAAATGTCAGACATGTTTTCATAAAAGATGGAAATGACATATTGTTACGTGCTTATAATTTTCGGCAATAATATTATTCCTGAATAAATTTTGTATAAAATAAACTTAAAAATTTCATTTAAAACTTTTTAATTTTAAACTAATTTTCCTTTAAATAATGTAAAGAAAATAATATTCATTTACGATATTAATTTAAAAATTTACGCTTTCATTACAATTATTACTTACTACAGAATTCATACTGTCCAAGTGAGAAGTCTGTAAGACATATAATGAAATACTTTTGCTTATGTATAAGCATTTACAATGAATTTAAGCTTATGTGAACATAAATCTGAAAAGCTTGCATTATTCGACAAACAACGGTATGTTTGCAGTCTTATGAATCTTCGTCTGAAAAATAAATACTGTAAGCATCCCTGGTAGTTCATAGACAAAGTTCTGCATATAAATATAGTGAAAAAAAATCGCATAAGATATATTCCATAATATTAATAAATAATGTTTTAGTAATTTATTGCAAATTTCAACTTTTTTCGTTTTTTGTAGTTTGGGAAAATGTTTAAAATATTTCCAGGAAAACATTTTAATACAACGAAAATGTTAATTGACATAATATATCAATAAATACGAGGCAGATACTTCGAAATAGACGCTTGTATAGCTAAATACTTCTACAGTCACTTCTTGGACACAGAGGTCCCACCGCAATCCGAATGGTTAAAGACTGCTGAATACTTGGATTAGACGCTTGGATTAGACGCTTGTATAGACCTCTACAGTCATTTCTTGGGCACAGAGGTCCCATAGCAAGCCGGAATGGTTAAAAACTGCTGACTACTGGGATTTATACCCGGGGTCAATCCCAGATGAAAGGGCTGATTGCATGGTTAGTGTTCATGGTTTTCCCATGTGTAGTTTTCCTCTCCACGAATTTAGGTAGCTCTCTTGCGCTTTGCCGTATTCAGACAACTCAACTCAATTTTAGAAAGACCTTTCACAGCTCAGAATTTTTGCGTACTACAGCTACTGTTTGCAGAATTTTTAGACAGTTTCATTGTATTTACAGATACAGTTTACCTAAAATTTTTGTGTTTTAAATGTTCTATTTTATAACCCTGATTCTTCACCATCTTTCTACACCGTAACTGCCAAGATAATAAAGCCTTTTGTAGTATTGGAAGATATATTTTATCCCATTTCTCTTGGATAGCTTTCCAAAGTCCAAACAGGGTTGTAGGTCAAAATTTGGTCAATTCGCTGTTTAAAAGTCCAAAAGCCCAAAAGTCCATGGGTGACATATTAGTAGGAATCCGAGTGAAGTGTATGACTTTGATATATGTTTCGTGCTTCAATTTTTCCAGGAAACTAACAGTGGGGTTTTACGTGCTTGCTTTCGCTTGATGCAATTTTACTGATCGATGGCACTGGGGGTAAACAGAAGGTATTTCATATTTGAAAATTGGGGCTAAAATAGTTTCTGATAGCATGTGGAGTTGATCTAATTGTATGTGGAGTTTATCTAAATTTTTCTCCGCTCTCTTTATTTTTACTTTGTCGTTGTATGAAAAACCATCAACAATCATAAATCCTTTTGAAAAACTTTCTTTAGATTATTTGAACTTTTCTTTAGATTATTTTTTCCTTCTCTTCGATGATAATAAGTGGATTTCCTTTTATCGCAGTCATTTAAATATACTTAAGATGCATCTATTGTGACAACATTTTACCATTTTTGTCCGGATAAATATTTCTCATAACGAATTCTGCAGCGCGTTCTATGTTAGGCTACATGTCGTAGAAAAAGACAATGCACGTTATGTTTCTTCGCCTTTTTTAGATTAAAATCAGCATTAAACTTATCAGGGTCAATGTTCCTTCTAACCTTCTTCGGGAACATGCAAGGACCTGACTCGGAACAGAGAGCTTACTAAAGCTATGTTCAAAACTGTGGGAAGTAAACAGGATACACAAGAAGGGTATACAAAACCCTTTATTTTTCTCTATTTACAATGACTTCCGTACTTCGGAATACAATGACCCGCTACTTGGGGTCAAAACGTAAAAGTATAAAATAAAACTAAACTCTAATTTAACTTTAGAATAATAAACGTGGAAGATTGGCCTTATATTAACAGGAAGCGTATGTAGTACAGAGAACTGTGAACACTACAATACGTTTAAACTTTATCAAGAGGATTAAAACCTCTGGCCTGGAAGGCAAACAAGCAACTGCGTAACTTCTAAGGTAAGCGGCCTGCTTCGACTCACTGCTTCCTCTCTCTCGCTTGGCAAAAAGGCCACAACTTAAATACTTGGCGTTCGCCAGACAAACTTTGCATAAAAACCTTAACGCTTATAATTCTGGCCGGAAGTAGAAAATAAGAAGTGATAGTAAAGATTTAAAATAAAATAAACGTTAGTAAAACTTAAGATCCTTACATACTTCCCGCCAGAGTTAATTAGTTTGAAACTGAGGTCTAAAACGACCTTGTTGAAAACTTTTAGCTCTAGAATCTAACGCGAGGCCAATCTTTTACAATATTTTTCGCTAGAAACTAGAAAATTTAAAAGAAAGAAATTTGTTTTTACAATAGCAGCTCCCAGGA